ATAAACAATAATCAGCTGATCAGATAAACAATAATCAGCTGATCAGATAAACAATAATCAGCTGATCAGATAAACAATAATCAGCTGATCAGATAAACAATAATCAGCTGATCAGATAAACAATAATCAGCTGATCAGATAAACAATAATCAGCTGACAGTAAGCATTATTATTATTATTTTAAATATTAAAGTAAACTTTATATTATATATTTGACCTTCAGGAAGTTGTCTCTCTCACAGTGAACAGATGATTGATCACATTAAGTCTTATTTAAATGTTAAATGTTATTAAATAAACTGTTTATTATATATTTGACCTTCAGGAAGTCGTCTCTTGCAGAGTGAACAGCTGTTGGATTCTGGACCGTTGCAGGTTCTGTAAAACAGAAGAATCTCTTTCATAAAAAATAAAACATTTAAACAAACAAAAACAAATCCAGGATCTTCTCACGTGTTCGAGCCTGGACCACCGTGGTGTTCTCGTGCCCACTGCTTCTGGTTACTATGGTGACGGAGTACAGGCGTCCAGGAACCAGCGAGCTGAAGGAGCACTCAGCCGGGGAGGAGCTGGASACCACCAGCACGTGGACCGCCCTCTTCCCGTCCAGAAGACGGACCAGGTAGCTGTCCACCACGCCCGCCGCAGGACGCCACGACACGTGGAGCGCGTCGGATTTACCGCCGTTAGTCACGGTCACCTGGGAGACCGCAGCTGGAGCTGACGGGACAACAGGTCAACAGGTCAACAGGTCAACAGGTCAACAGGTCCAGATTTATAAAACCGGTTCTTCACAGGAGAATTATTAAAAATTATACTTTATTTTACAGAAGAGACACGTTAAGAATGATCAGCAGAAATCACTACAGTCACCATCAGATATATGATTTTATCAGTTCAGATTATTAGTTTTAATATTTTACAGGTTCTGTATAAGGCTCATTAAACATACAATTACATTTATTTAAGACGGAAAGTTGTTGTAATCTGAAGGGATTAGAAATGTTTGTAAAAATGAAAATTCAAACAAATTTAAAGGACAGATGTACTTCAGTCAGAGGAATAAGATTATGGAATAATCTGGAAAATTATTATAAAAATCCAATTAATTTGTTTAAAAAATATTCAAAGTGAAATTGTTAAATAAATATGAAATTTGAACATCCAATCACATTTTGTGAAGACGGAAAGTTGTTGTAATCTGAAGGGATTAGAAATGTTTGTAAAA